AACAGGGGTTTATGGGAGGTTTTATGGGGTAAAAATAGGTTTTCCCCATTTTTGACCCTAAAAACACAAAATTTTACAATTTATTTTCAAACCATTTTGTAGAGCTTAAAAAAACAAATAATTTTGTGTATTGAAGCATTATTATGCGCCTAATTGTTACGGAGAAAATTCAAAAACATTGTAATTTTAAAATTCCCATGTTATTCTTATGGAGAATAAGTCAACTGTTGTAGTTTGCTTGTTTATGAACATATTTTGATCAAATTTGGAAAATACATTAATTTCTTACTAAATTAATTTCTTTACCACAGCACCTTTTAACATTTTATATAAAAAAAAACTTTTACCCTCCCTGTTGCAGCAAACCTAAGTACTCATTAAACTAATTCTGTTTAAATAGGGAATAAATGTGATATTTTTAAGGAGACATTTTAGTTTAAATCCAATCAGGCAAATGGAAATTTGCTAAGTCTGCAGGTTTGCTGCGGCGGGGGTATTTGTAATTTGAAGTGGTTTCCGTGCCTAAAAAATGCTTAAAAGGTTATTTTCTTGTTTATTAAGATCGTAGGAGTGTTTTAAAAACGTTTGAAAGAAAAGTCCAGAAAGTTCAGAAATATCAAAACTATAAACACGAAATGACAGGTTAAATCGAAGTTATAATAGTCAATCAGCTGCTCATAGTATTATTATCTTTAAGTGTTGCCAACCTATTTCCAAGCGTACACGGATTATGTGCATAATAGAACCACGCTGTTTTTTGTTGTTTCGTTGGAATCCTGATGTGCGCCAAAGTATAAACCGTATGACAAAGTATAAACCGTACGACAAAGTATAAATATGCAGCAATTAGCAGCTTTCTGTACCATAAACAGTACAAGGAAGCCAACTTTGTCGGGTGACTGTAGGAAAATAAGTTTGTATATTGAAGCGTTGTAACATTAAACATTATGGAGAAAAAGAAAACTGCTGTAGTTTGCTTGATTATGGATGTATGTTTATCAAATTCGGAAAATTTATTTATTCAATCCTATTATTTATTTATTTAGTCCTGACAGGTTAAATCGTAGTTATAATAGTCAATCAGCTGCTCATAGTATAATTATCTTTAAGTGTTGCCAACCTATTTCCAAGTGTACATGGATTACGTGCATAAAATAACCTCGCTGTTTTTTGTTGTTTCGTTGGAATCCTGATGTGCGCCAAAGTATAAACCGTTTGACAAAGTATAAACTGTACGACAAAGTATAAATTAGCAGCTTTCTGTACTATAAACAGTACAAGGAAGCCAACTTTGTCGGGTGACTGTAGGAAAATAAGTTTGTATATTGAAGCGTTGTAACATCAAACATTTTGGAGAAAAAGAAAACTGCTGTAGTTTGCTTGATTATGGATGTATGTTTATCAAATTCGGCAAATTTATTTATTTCATCCTATTATTTATTTATTTAGTCCTATATCAGCCTACCATTTTGTGAAAAAAAAAAACTATTAGCTCTCCCCCTAGCAGTATACCTAGGTACTTGTTAAATCTAATGTTATGTAAATGGGGAATAAATATGTCTTGTTTATGGAAATATTTTAATTAAAATTTGTACAGATAAATTGAAATTTGCTTAGTCTGCAGGTTTGTTCTGCAGCGGGTGTATATCATATACAGTACACTTTAATTGGTAGATATGCCTGATTGGCAGATTCTGGTAATAGATTACTGAGATTGCCCTTTAATATTTGTAAAGCTGTCTAAACTGTTTGAATGGCCAAATTAAATAACTATCCCACTGATCGCGTCTTCCTATCTACATCGAGCATCACAAAATAATATTGTACCTTGGTAATAGATTACTGAAAATACCATATTATTTATGTAGTGCTGTCCGAATTGTTATAGTCTAGTTGCCAAAAGGCATTTTTCACCCAAACCTGAAAGTAAGGTCCACCCGAAGTTTTATGGGGTTTTCTGTTTCTTCAAGACCTACATAACTAAAATCTGCAATGTGCCACTTTGTCACCCTTGAGCAAATTGAAATATTCAAGATGGCGGCCAAGATGGCTTAAAAACTGTATATTTGCTGTATCTTTTCCTATAGAAGAGAAAGGATAATAATTGTTGTGTCTAATTTTATGTTTTAAGGGTCAGAGAATACCAATAATTGATTATCTTAGTAATAAAAAGACCCCCACCACAGCAAACCTGCCGACTAAGCGAATTTCCAGTTGCCTGAATTGATTTTCAATTAAATGTATTTAATTAACATTAATTTTTATGAGTACTTAGGCTTGCTGCTACAGGGAGGGTAAAAAAGTGTTTTTTTTTGTGAAATATTAATAACTTAGTATAAAATAAATAAATTTACCAAGTTTGATCAAAATATCCCTAAACAAGCAGACTACAACATTTTACAATATTCCCCATAAGAATAACATAGGAATTTTAAAATAACAATTATTTAAATTTTCTCCGTATCTAATAATGGTACAAAAACACTTTGATATACTAAATTATTTGCTTTTTTAAGCTCTTTAAGAAGGTTTGAAGAGAAATTGGAAAATTTTGCGTTTAGAGGGTCAAAAATTAGAAAAAACCATTTTTACTCCATAAAACCCCGCGTAAAACCCCGTTCCCATGGTCCGATCATGCTGGTTCTCGAACTCATTCAAGTTTATCCTGCCTTACACCTTCAAACCAAATTTCATCAAAATTGTATAAAAATTACTCAAGTTATCGTGTTCACGGACACATATATGTAATTGTCTATTATGAAAAATTGAATCTTGGTATGTTTCAAAACCCCAACTTTTTCAATCAATCAATCAATCAATCAATCAATTTATTTATTGAACTATAATGAATACATGCATATTATACAATAGGTGCAAAAACCATACAAGGCTTGTCTGCACCAACATATTATGAAAAACAGTGTTCAGTGTTCTCATGGTAGGATTTTGTCAGATCTTTTCATACATTGCCCTATATGTATGAATGTATGATTCCAAAATATGTTTTAAATGTTCTCAAAGCAATTTTTCCCACCTCAAAGTGTATTTTAATCGACCTAGATGTAGTGGTGCAGCCCGCGTCACGGCTAGCGTTCCAAGTTGAAGACTAATAACAATATATCCCATAATATATCTTCAAAGCAATATACAAACTGATATGAGGTTGATAATTGTTGAAAATTGTATTCAGATTCTTTTAAGAGCCCCAAAATATGAATGTTCTTATCACCTGAGTTTGTATTTGCAAACATTTAAAGGTTTTACAAAAAAAATCTTCGAAATTTGCTATTGTTTCAATTTAAAGCTGTCTATTTTAAATAAATCAATAATGAAATGGTATAAGGTTATTATTATCTTAAAGTAAACTTGAAGAGGAATCTATTAAGACAAACAGCAAATCGTTAAGACGATTAGTTGTCAAATAATTGATGTTTTACTAAAAGCTTACATAAATCCAATATGGCGGAAGTTTTTTCAAAAATGGCGGCTTTCCACCACTTGGATTTTCTTGATTTTTAGTATAATATTCTTGACACCTTTTTTGACAAAATCCCATATATTTTGGAATATATGGGGAAGAAATATATTTTATTTCTTTTACCTTAAGTTTGATGTTGGACCGTATTTTGACTAGCCTAAAGAACATTGTTTTTTTCTTAATTCAAAAAAACTATAATTTAAAAAGCAGTTGATAAAGTCATTCACTGTTCCTGAAGAAGGATAATGCACTGTCCCCAGTACAGCACAAGCATCAATTAGGAGAACTGCTTGTAAGTTAACTGATTTGATGACTGTGTTCTGTTTGAATGTAGCACTTATCCTCAGAAACCATAGATATAATGTTTTAAGTCAAGTAAATACTTGAAAACATTGTTGATAAGGTAACTTGGCAACAAATTAATGTGGAAATTTATTAAAAACTTATATTGATTTATTATTTTGGGTAATTTTCTAATTAAAACATCAAACTAGGCACAAAATGATTATCCTGTCTCTTCTATAGGGAAAGATACAGCAGATATACAGGATTAGTAAACCGAACCAGCATGATCGGACCATGGGAACGGGGTTTTACGTGGGGTTTTATGGGGTAAAAATTTGTTTTTCTAATTTTTGACCCTCTAAACGCAAAATTTTCCAATTTCTCTTCAAACCTTCTTAAAGAGCTTAAAAGAACAAATAATTTAGTATATCAAAGTGTTTTTGTACCATTATTAGTTACGGAGAAAATACAAATAATTGTTATTTTAAAATTCACATGTTATTCTTGATTATATTTTATATATTTTTTATATTAGGATATATTTTGATCAAAATTGGTAAATTTATTTATTTTATACTAAGTTATTAATATTTCACAAAAAAAAACACTTTTTTACCCTCTCTGTAGCAGCAAGCCTAAGTACTCATAACAATTAATGTTAATTAAATACATTTAATTGAAAATCAATTCAGGCAACTGGAAATTCGCTTGGTCGGCAGGTTTGCTGTGGCGGGGGTATTTTATTACTAAGATAATCAATTATTGGTATTCTCTGACCCTTAAAACATAAAATTAGACACAAAAATTATTATCCTGTCTCTATAGGGAAAGATACAGCAAATATACAGTTATTAAGCCATCTTGGCCGCCATCTTGAATATTTCAATTTGCTCAAGGGTGACAAAGTGGCACCTTGCAGATTTTAGTTATGTAGGTCTTGAAGAAAGAGAAAACACCATAAAACTTCGGGTGGACCTTACTTCCAGGTTTTTTGACCGGCAACCAGACTATTAGAATGTGTGAGTGGAATAACACTGATCGTTTCTTCCTGATACTTTAATACTTTTTGCTTTGCTTTTTTTTAAGCCAAGTATGAATGGAGATGAGTGTAGGATGAGTGGCGGGATCTTGTAGTCTTACACAGCAACCAGTTAAAGTGTACTGGACAAGAAAGTAATGGGTGACAAAAATAGTTTTTTTTCATGTTTCTAACTATTATGTTGCTAATGTGCTGCAGGTGGATGCTGGCCAGGGTAGCTACCCCTCTGTCAACACTTGTGTCCACTACCTCAAACTACCAGACTACCCTACAGAGCAGCTACTCAAGGAGAGGTTACTCACAGCCACCCGAGAGAAGGGATTCCACCTTAACTAACTCTGTTGTACAAAGAAAATTACAATTTGTATATAATATTTTAGCATCAATAATGCAACTTATTAAATTCAAAACTATATTCGTCTTTTGTAAGGAAATACTACCTTTCTTTGCTCTTTTCAACTCGGTGTAAGATGTTTAATTTGGATTGTTTAGCGTAAAGAAGTTCCTCCTGTGATTTATTTCTGTCAAAATATATAGTTTTTCTTACAGTTCATTTTTTGTACAGCGAGATAGGTACAGTATAGGTTTAACGCTTAATCATCTACAATTTACGCTTCGGTTTTCTATAAGTTTTTCGTTTTTATCCTTGTGCCTTAACCCCGCACTCGCAGTTCTGTTGACACTTCTCTGTAAATAGTTTTTACTTTAAGATTTAGGCTAAGTTTGCCGCTCTCTGGGTGGTGTTCGATGTAGTAGGCCTAGTAACAAATGTTAGTCCATTCACTTCCTGTGTGAGGGTCTGCAGTTTGTTGTGCGTCGAAAATTGTGATCTACTTATGGCTAAATCCTATCTCACTTTAAGATATAGAGTCATATGTATAAGGAGAAATTATAAGTTGAATAAAGCTATTACAATTATTAAGTACAAATAGATGTTTTTGATTCCCTGTGTTGCTCATAATGTTGGAGACATTACAAACCTGTAATCAGTAAATCTAGTTTTTTTACAGCACCACCAAAAAAATAAACAACTGGACCTCTAGTAAACATAAACCACTAGTTGCAAGGAGGGAGAGGGAGGTAATTTTATTTTCAGATGGAGTCCTCTCCCAAGGTGTAGTAGATTCTTCGGACCCTGTAAAATTGTTGTTGGTGGATGGTCCAGATCTGCTGACAGTGTACATGATGGACATGGTGTAATGTGGATGGTAGATGGATAGAGTCAACTGTCAGAGTGTAATTGGTTGTGTAGGACGTGTTGGACTGTGAAATTTTTGTGGATGACCACAGACGTAAGGTCGACCTAAATTGATTCGAGACTCGACACACAACCGACGCGGTCTACATGTCACTATTAACTAAAATAAAAGTAGGCCTACCGTGTATTTGTATGTCTTATTCGTAATGTATATAAGTGTAAAGTTTGTGTACGTGTTTCAAAACTTCAAGACGCACCCAATGGGGAAGATCAAGATCTTATATTAGGACTGATGATGGCAATTTATTCTGCCGAAATGCATCTCCTGTAATAGTATACAGCACATAAGGATCAACTGGCGGACACAGGTAATTTAACAGCTTAGTTCACCTAAATCTCTCATTTCAAAAGTTTTCATGAGCTGGGCTTTGATGTAATTGCGGTACTTTTGGTTCTTCGTAGCAATTAAAATGTCATCTACATATACAGAGATTATTGATTTGCATCCACCTACTGTTGAAATGTATAGGCCTATTCCTATAGGCCTACAAGGATCAGCTTGAGATGGTGTGAATTTCAGTTCCTTTAGTTTTTCATCAAGCTTCATATACCACTGTCTTCCTGATTGTTTTAAACCATAAACTGCCTTTTTTAGTAGACAAACCTTTTTGTTTTGAGAATTTTTTAAGTCAGTTATCATTTTCTTTGTTTTGTTAAAAAAAAAAAAAATTCTTTTTCTTGAAGCTTTGTTTAATACAAATACTTTTGATCCAAATACTTTCAAGTGTCTTACTGAAGGCTTTCTTCCAGTCCATTTTTCATATGGCGTTAAGTGTTCAGTAGCTTTTGAAGGGCATCGATTTCTTATATAGTTAGATGTGTTAATAGCTTCAGCCCACATACAGGGTGATTGATATAAGTGTGCCAGCCGTTTTATTCGAAAACTGTAAGAGATATCAAAAAAAGTTAAATGGTAAGTGCCTTGGATTTTTTATTAAAAAAATTGTAGTCAAGTCAAAAAAATTATTTTAGCCGCCATTTTTCCAATATGGCCGCCAACTTTGATTTTTCTTATGGAACACCCTGTATTTTATGATGTATTCTGGTATAAAATGTAATTTTAAGACGATTTTATTCTTGTGATTTTTTTCATAAACCTAACCGTTTCAAAGATAATAATGGTTTAAGTTTTGAAATTTCTGCATGAGAAAGAGTTTAGATAAAAAGGCCTTAGCAAGCATGCCAGCTGTTTTAATGGAAAACCATTCAAAATTTCACAACTTAAACCATTATTATCTTTGAAACGGTTAGGTTTATGAACAAAATTACAAGAATAAAATCGTCTTAAAATTACATTTTCTACCAGAATACATCATAAAATACAGGGTGTTCTATAAGAAAAATCAAAGTTGGCGGCCATATTGGAAAAATGGCGGCTAAAATAATTTTTTCGACTTTACTACAATTATTTAAATAAAAAGTCCAAGGCACTTACCATTTAACTTTGTTTGATATCTCTTATGGTTTTCGAATAAAACGGCTGGCACACTTATATCAATCACCCTGTATATCCTGGTAGATTTGATTCTATCAGTAAACATCTTGCCATATCCAATAATGTTCTATTTTTTCTTTCAGCCAAACCATTTTGTTGCGGCGTGTATGGAACTGTTAAGTCTTCGCCTTATACCACTTTCTTCCAAGAACTTGTCAAATTCACCATTACAATATTCTTTGCCGTTATCAGTTTGCAGAAGCTTGATTTTATTTCCTGTTTGATTTTCCACCTCATATTTATATTCTTTGAAACGTTCAAAAATTTCGTCTTTACTTTTCAAAAAATATACATAGCAGTACCCAGACAGCACACTTTATCCCAGGGACATCCCATAGTAGTCCCATATGTCCTGAGAATGTCTCGGGATATGTACGCTATCCTCAGGATATCCCGCAAAATCCCGGGACGAGTACGAAATCCACAGGATATCCTACAATATACCGTAATGTCCCGGGATTTGTAAGTTAACCTCAGGATATCCTGTAAAGTCCCGGGATATGTACGAATGCCATAGGATATCCCAGAATGACCCATGAAATCCCGGGACATGTACAAAATCCACTGGATATCCTGTAATGTCCCGTAATTTCCCGGTAACAAACTGAAGAAAAAAATACTACCGCTGATGAAATGTATATCTAAATTTAAATGTTCAACAAGGCCAATATATAATAATTTGTTTTTTTCACTAGCGCTTTCAGAAGCTTGGTTTCCATCTTCAGGCTGTGTTTACACTAGTACAAAAAGTAAATATTTACTTAATAAATTAATTTTAAACAAAGTTAAAACAGATGATTTAAAGGATATTGGAAAAATAAAAAATAATATTAGAAAAATTAATCTTTTGAATTTTGGATATATTACAGTGTTGTTCTTGATGTAATTATTTTCAGTAATTCCGAATTTATAATTGGGCCGTCTACACTTTTAACAAATAATTTTGGTCTTTTTTTTTCTAAAAATAAGATTCCCACGCATAAAGATGTTGAGGTTTTATAATTTGTTTTAAAAGTTTAAGGTTTCCCAGATTGAAAATATGTCTTGTTAATACCATAGACTAACCAACGTATGTTTTATCTATGTTAATACTGTGGCTAGCAAGGGCTGACTTAACTTTACTGACATATTACTACCACTGAGTTCAAGAAAACTAGAGTTCTATCATAGTCGTGTGAAATGTGAATTTAATTCTAACTTTAAATTAATAAAACAATCAAAAACTAATTTTAATCATATAACAATCAATTATAACAGTGCTAATCTAATGGTAATTAAATACCAGTATCCTCTCCAACTACCAGAAAAACAATTCAACTACTTGAGGCCTAAACAGATTAACAGAATCATATTATAGCCTATACTGGGGTAGTATCAAAAATATTTTAAGTATTGCGACCATTGCAACTGTCGGCTACTCTTTCACCACTTGAAAACACCCACTATCATCAAGCGCAGATAGCTCAGGAGGTAAGGTAAGAGGCTCATAAGGCGAAGGTACCAGGTTCAAGACCCGTCTGGGCCAAAAACTTTTTTCTCGTTTTTTTCTTCAAAATTTGTGTTTATTAACTATTTAATCAATTTACTAAACTTATAATTAAGCTTTTCATACTAAATCTATATTATTTTGTGTTTTTTATGTTCAGGCCCAGACCACACTTTATCCCAGGGACATCCCATAGTAGTCCCATATGTCCTGAGAATGTCCTGAGGACTACCATGGGATGACCTCGGATGTCCTACGGATATGCCTGTGAGCTTATCCGTAGGACATCCCCGGGCGGGGACATTACGCATTCCTGTGGATATCCTGCGATATCCCAGGTTGACCATAGGACCACTATGGGATATCTTGCATATCCTGTCGCAATATCCGTGGGATGTCCTGAGGAGAAAGTGTGCTGTCTGGGTAGGCTATCTTGAATGTTCATCAATGAATGTTCCAAAATACTTATTTCCTCCAGGTGTAGTTACTTTCATAGGACCTACAATGTCAGAATGTATGACTTCTAGCAAGCCTACATTATTTGCAATCTTTCTTGATTGAAATGGTGTTTGTGTCAATTTTCCTTTAATACAAAAGATGTTTCACATTCTCCAATTTTGTCTTTCATGTTGAAGGTTAATCCATTCAAAGATTCATTTTTTAAAGCTGTTTTTTAGTCAACCTCGTTTAGATGACCTAACTTCTTATGCCAATCTATGATCTCAGGGTCTTTTGTATAGTTTGATTTTTCATTTACCATTAGGCCTATAGATTTTGTACTTTTGACATAATAAAGACCACCCTGACGTTCTGCTGCCACAATTACATTTCCTCTTTGGTTTTGGACGACAGCTTTCTCTTTTTCAAAAATCACTTTAAATCCTTTATCTTTTATTTTACTGACACTCATTAGATGTGTTGCCTAGTCTGGTACAAACAGAGTGTTATTCAAATGTACGATTTCAGAATTTTTTAATTCTAGCGAAACCGTTCCTGTTCCAGAAACGTCAGATGTCTTTCCTTTAGAAGCAAGTTTCAAAATTCCGTTTGAATTTTTGATATCTCTGAACTGTGATTTCTCTCCACACATGTGTGATGTACATCCACTATCAATACACCAATCAGATGAAGTAGAACCTAAAATGTTCAAATTTGAAGAGAAACATTCAGCCTCTGCTTTAAAACTATTTCCCATTTGTTTGGATCTACAGTTGTTGGCTTAGTGTCCTAATTTTCCACATCTAAAACATTTAACTTTGAAACCTACTTTTGTAGTGTTGTTCTCATCTTGTTTCTTATGACTATAAGTGTTGTGAATACCTTTCTTGGAGTTGAACTGCTTTGTTTTGCAATACAATGCATCTTCATTATTCGTACAAGTGTCTTTTGACCTAGCTTCATTCTCCTCAATTACTTATATTTTTAAATCATTAGGAGAAGGTAAAGTGTCTCTAGACTCAATTGCTACCCGGAAATTTTCAAATGATGATGATAAGCTGTAAAGTAGCATAATGCTAGTAAATCTGAATTAATAATGATGTCCATTTCTTGAAGTTTGTCAACAATCTCCATAAATTTGTTGACATGATCCCTAGGATCTTCTCCATCTTTCATTTTATGAACTATTAACTGCTTTAATAATGTGGCTTTCCTTGCAGGACCAGAACTTGGTAATTGTTCTGCAGGCAAT